AAAAAAAAAAAAAAAAAAAAAAAAAAAAAAAAAAAAACCAGAAAAAACACTGAACTAGATACACAATTTCTGAATTGCCAGAAAACAACTGATTTAGTATCTAATCAGATCATTGTGGTTTTACTCATTCATCCTCAATTCATCAAGAAAAGCAGTTCATTAATCTAAAGAACCAGGCATAAAATTTATATATCGACTACTCTGTTTTATTGCCAAGCCTACTGTATTATACTTCAGTTTTATGTGCATTATAATAAAAAGCATGTGTGAATTCTCATCTTCTAAAATAGTTGTGCATCCGTGTGGTTTGAGTTAATGCTTTTGAAAACAGTCTCCACATGATGCTATCTGCAAATAGAATCTGACTATGATAAAACTTTAACTCTTAAGATGTGGTCTAATATTGTGATAAAAAGAAATCCATTTTCAGAAAATGGACTTTACCCACGTGCACAAAAAATATTTTAAAAATATAAAACTTCTAAGGAGGTAAAGATCAATGCACTGCAGTACAAGCTTCACCTCCACTAAGGAGAAAACATACTTCAGCTACTACAACATGTGGGAAAAAATGGCAGTCCCAGCCAGGTTGAAAGGCTACAGTGAGTACATCAATAATTAATCCTCTTATCTTACCCAAGAAGGAAAAAAAAAATATTTTTCAGCCCAGGTTAATATTAAGATAGTTGCTTGTGAGTACTTATATAAACAGAAACTGGAAGCATGCTGTTGGCAAATGGCAGACTTAATCTCTGTGTTCTTCATATATAATGAAGGCAGCAGTTGCAGGAGGATTATGAAACAAACATTTGTTCCCGTTTTACTGAGTCTATTTATCAGCAGTAAATATCAGCAGCGGAGATAAGAGTAATATCCACTTTGTATTTTTCAGGACACCATCAGAGAACAAGACCTCCTGCAAATAATGAAAAGAAGATGAGGGTAAATGAAGCTCTAAGTATTTGTGCAACATAACATTCACACTACTTACGTGCTGAGAAAGAGTGCTTATGTCAAATGCTGGGTGGAATTTAACCATTTGTAGTTCTGTATTTTTACACCAGCCCTGTGCACTTGGAAGATGTGTTAATGCAAGAAGGGACACATTTATAATACTCAACCCCTGTCATATAGCAGTGATACACCATCTTCATTTGCTTCATGCTAACAGGTGCTACGGTCTCCAGTCGTCACCAAAGGTCAAGCACAGCTTTCTTAGAAATCCTGAATTCTATGCCACTAACAGACTTTAATGTAAATGGGTTTTTTTCTGCTTAGGTAGAATTCTGTTTAACAATCATGTCACAATATGGGATATTGTTAGAACAAATTACCCAGTCTATTAATTACACAGCTATCTTTCCATCAACCAATAAAAATGCCCCCAATTACATACATATCGTAAGTAACCTGTTGTTGCAGCACAGTCAAAATGAATGGTGATGTAAAAAACAGCAGTGTATCACCCTGGCCCTCCTGAAATTAAACCAGGATGCTTTTGGCCCTTTAGTCTAAAGAAAACAGTGCTGTTCTTGGGTGACTGATTTTTATGGACAATTACTAAGTACTTGTCATACTCTGAAGTTGCTCACGCTGCCCTGCAGGGACAAGAGGCCCTCTTGCATTCATACCTGTGTCTGAGCAGTGGCACTGACTGCTGCCCTCCTGCCCAGGGTGCAGAACCAGGATGGAACCATCACCCTGATCACCTGCAGCACCTGAACACTGCCATGTGGCCACGGACGTCCTTGAGCCAGACCTCTGCTCTTCACTGTTCTTTGTATGTAAAACAGAAAATCCTGTCATTAAGAACCAGAAGCTGGAGCTTCTCATTCCCAGGAGAGACACCTGGGCTTTTGGGTCTGCACTGGATCACACCCTGAGGCTGCAGCAGTATTTAGAAGTATTACATGAACGAACCTCTTAGCAAACCATCCACTGCACACTCACTGCAGTTCCCAGTGACATCAGTATGCTTCAAGTGACTCAAAATGACACTCAGATATATAAAACTTCTTCAGAACATTTCCTTTTCACAAAAGAAATAGCTAATACCATGCAATCTTTTGGGGGGAACTCTTAGACTTCATTATTCCACCCAAACAGCTGCTAAAAGGAACGAAATGTTTCATATGGAAAGAGGCACAGAAAGTGGATTACAACGACTGGAAGAATGGGGACCTCATGAAAAATGAGTGTATGGTTCCCCCTGTGACAAGATATGAGAACTCCAGCAATCCTGGAAACCCTTCTGTCATGTCTGCTTACTTCTGCTGCGTATTGTGCCTGCCAGAACATGTTCCTGTTTGGCACAAGTGGGAAATCTTTATTCTCAGATGAGTCTAAGGCAGTATCTGGTGACACAGGCAAGCAAGCCCAGCACTGCACCTTCCACAGGCGTACAAAGCAGCAGATGAACATACCTGCAGGAAGAGGCACAGACAGACTGGCTTTCTCCTGCCTTCAGACAAGCACCTGAGACCCACCACCACCTACACCAGCTCTCCCTGACAAAGGCTGTTCTGGGCTTAAGCAGCTCTGAAGAGGCAGCAGGAAATGGGGCTGCCTGCATATGCCCTGAGGGATATGGCCAGTGTCTGACAAAGCCTGCAGCCCGTATCACATCTTTATTCATGGCCTGGAGCTTCCAAAGTGGCAGTGGAGAAGCAGCACCTTGGCGGATGTTTTCCACCTGGGCTCCCACTACAAAGGCACACGAAGCAAACAAGCCACAGCAGATGATGGCTCTGATGTTTTTCCGCATTCCAGCCTCTCTGGTTGGATCCCGCTCTTTGGTTTGTTGTTCACAATTAAGATACAAATGATTCGCGGGTGGGTACTTCAACCAATCCTCTGCTCACAGAGCATTATTATGCGGTGAGGTTGGAGACCTGCATCGTACCTGAGCAGTACAAATCAGCTCCACCATTACCTGGTTTTGTCTTGGTTAATAAGTCTATTCAGCAAAGCAGGGGCCATCAGGAAGATTTAAGCATATACATAAAACTAAGCATACATCTAAGAGCTTTACTGAATACATGTCCCTTGCAGCCTGGTGATAATCATGTCTCTTCACAGAAACAAAATGTTAATGAGTATTCGTCAGAATCCTTTTTGCTTCACATTAAAAATACTCCGTGTGCAAGTGTTCCCAGGAGAACAAGAAAGAGAGGATGGAGATTTCACAGCTCTCTGAAGGCTTTTATACAGCATTCATCCTATTTTGTCCAACAGCAGCTTCTGCTGCAACCAAAGTATACATCACCATCGCTACTTTCCCCTAAAAAGGCAGATAGGGATTCACACTAAAAATGACTGCGATGAAGACAAATTTGGCTGACTATCATCATGTAAAAGAAAGACAAAATAGACTGAGTGGGGGTTGTAAAAGAGAAACAGTGGGTGACCAAGAGCACAGGCAGAGAATAAGAGCAGAAAGCCAAATGCATTTAAGAAAGCCGAATGACAGTCTCAGAGAGAGATCACTTTTTTCAGATGGCTGGAAGAGGCTTGGAGTGGGAACACAAAATGACTCTTGACGTTTCACTGACTGCAGTGTCCAGGAGCTGGTACATCTTCTGGGTGAAGACATATAATTGCATCAAAGTCATTTCTGTTTTCCATCCTAAAAAGAAACAATTTTAGTCAAGTTTTGACTAACCACCTGATTTGAAAGCAGTGAGGCTCCAGAGCAGGCAGCCAGAGCAGCTGTTTTCGCTCAGGGAGCAGAAATTACATTATGACTGCAGTTAAAGACACTGAGGCTGAAGAAAGTCTGTGTCTGGACTTCAGGTTCATGCTCACACTTCAGTAGGCTTCAACACAAATCTATGGACATATGGTGTCCTTGACTCCAGCGAGTCAAGTTTTACTTCACTGACAGTCAATAGTGTGACACCATCCTCCGGCACCCAGCCACATCCTGGCACTTCTCAGCTCTTCTCAGACATTTGGGTCCCATAAACAAAAAGCAACTTTTGTTAGCACTGGTTGTGGAGGGTCCCTGGGCAATGCCACCACCCTTCCCATGGTGAGCACCCTCCATTTTCCAGCCCCCCCAGCCAACAAGGCCTTGAGTTTTAGGCTTTGGGCTGAAATAATGTTTATAACTTCCCATTAATTCCTCTATGACAGTCACTTGGAGAAATGCACCACCAGAGCAAGCACCTTCCCAAACATTCCAAGGGCTTTGCATCATCTCCTGACAAGCATTAAGAATAGGGGAGTATGGAAGTGAAATGGTGCCCCCAGAAAGTGTGTCCACCTTGCTGTGATCGTGCTGTGCGGGCAGCACCTCTCCACATTGCCCTTCATGCAGTCCCAGCGGCGAAGCAGAAAACAGATTCCCATTATTAGCAGCTCTCCAAAGTGTAAGAGACAAATTGCAGCCCAATAGTAATTATTCATGAGAAGACTATTCTGTACTATCAGATTTTTGTGTTTGTGACTAACAGGTTTTGAATAATCTCTCAGCCAAAGGCACAGACACAGGTACTAATGCAGCATCAAAAAGCACTTGCTCAGGCCAGACCCAGCTCAGACCCGAAAGGCTGCCCCAAGCCCTGCTACCCAGGTCTGCTTTCCAAGGAGCCCAGCAGCTGGAGCACAGCAGCACTGGAGGGATCCAGCAGAGCTAGCTGCCTGCGTTCCGTCACTCCCAGAAGCCAGGGCTCGGACTTCCCAAGCCTGTCTCCTAACTGCAGGAGCACAGTGCCCTCCTGAGCCCTCCCCACCCCTCTCTCAATGCCCTAAACTGACTGACGGAATCAGATTTGTGGAGTGAACTCGCTTGCTTTTGATCTCTATTCAAGGTGCCATCAAGGGATCTTAATAGGTAGTATCTTAGCAAACGCTTTAAGGCCTGAAAGCGTCATTAAAGAAACTCCTGATTCTCACACTTGTCTGAAAGAATAGAGGAGCAAGCTGGCTTCAAATGCCAGTTGACAGATGGGAAGACATATGGACTATAGGATTGCTGATCTAAAGAGTCAGAGCCATGGTCAGGCTGAGGAAACATACATCTTTATTTTGATGTTGACCTCAAAGGGAAGAGGTCTGAGCCAACAGAAAGGGGAAAGGGCAGAAAATATCACAAGTCTGAGGCCAGGATTGCTTTGAACTTGAAGACAAATAACACTAAACAGTACCAAGTTGACAAAAAGGCTTCTTGACACTCCGTGTCTACAAATTTAGCAGTCTGACCCAAATAGCTGCTTGATGCATTTTCAGTAACGAGCCGAGTAAGGATCAGTAATGCTGATGCAATCTCTTGTGGCACCCAAGAAGTTTGTCATTTCTTCCAGCTCCAGATACTCAGAGAGCTCTGGTATGGAGCAGGACAGAGGCACAAGGGGGCACCTTGGGTTAAAGCCCTCATTATCCTTCTGGCAGTCCTTGGAGCCATGGAGCAGTGGATCCCTGCAGAACACTTCTCATCAAGTCCTGTATTTGTTTCCCTACTGTCTCTCCATGGAAAACCTACAACCCCATCCCAAGTCATTAACATTGCACACAGCATTTTCTATAAAATTCCCTCTGGGACACTTAACTGTATTCCTTTCCAGCACTGAAAAAAAATGCTCAGGATAAAGTTTAGACACTTGGAGCCTTCTGCTGAATTTAAATGGCTGTGCAAGGAAGCCATGAAACAAATGAAGGGACAGATACCCTATTTTCTCCCCAGAAAAAAAAAAAAAAAACCAGGGCCTTTTAGTTCACTGTCTTTCTTCATGTTGTCTTTTTATCACAAGTGTGCACTGATGACACTACTTTAATGCAGTCTGTTCCAAGAGATTAAATTGAATGTCTGTGTAGAGTTTCAGGGCTCAGCAGCATAGCATGGCAGCTTCGTTTCACATCTCTGGGACACTGGGCAGGCATAAAAATAATTGCAGACTCAGAAACGATCAAGGAATGTATCCCGGCTGCAACAGATGCTGTATTAAAAGGAAAGACAAAAGCCAAAGTGCATAATGAATTTTAAAAGATTTCTTTATCAAACATGTCATTTGTTTGAAGGACTGAATTGCTGGCATCAGATGTGGCAGATGAGCTTGTTACCAAAGTGAAACACGAGGACTGCTATGCAATGGCAATTGATGAGTCAATTGAAATAACTGATGTTGCTCAAATGCTCATCTTCATTTAATATGTCAGTGGTCAGAAGTTAACCAAAGACTTTCTAGTTTTGTCACCACAGAACCAAACCAAAGGCTACAAGACATGGTGTGCTAGCACTGAACATCAGAGGCCCTAATATACTTAATGGGAGCTGACACTCCAACTACACTTGTCTGTGAAAAATAATTTCTGACATAGCCCTAACAAATGAACTCAGGCTTGTGAGCATCAGTGCCTTGTCCATCAAACATTCTCTCAGCTGCATTAAGAGCAAGATATTAAAATGGCATTAGATTACCAAGAAACACAGTTGTTTGTCTAAGCTGACACCAACTCTTTCGGTTGATTATTTCAGCACTCTCGTTATGGGGATGTTTTTGAAGGACACAGTTTGTTAAGTACTTGGGTGCTTTGCTGGTTGATAAAAATACAACTAATGCTTGTAAAACAGAGAAAACTATTTTAAAATGCTTCCCTCATCCAAAAAAAAAAAAAAAAAAAAAAAAAAAAAAAAAAAAAACAACAAAAAAACACAGAATAAAGCAAAAAGAAACACCCCAAAACAACCCGACCCCCCCCAAAACAAACAAACAAACAAACAAACAAGCTGCCAAAAACATTCAAGCAACACAAAGCCCCAGACACAGTTCCTCTATCCTTCCTAGCCATTTCCTGGTTATCTGGTCTAATTTCTTGGTCTTGATACAAGAAGCCTAAGTAATCTTGGAAAATCTTTACAAGTTGAATTCTTCTACTTTAGAAATCCAGAAATGTAAAGCAGAAAGTGTGACTTCATACAAACCAGTTTTCAACACAAGCACCCATCTGGATTTTTCACTAGGGAGAAGAGCAAACTGACTGAGAGAGTGTGTAAAATCCCTCTCTGGGTCTGTGTTTTGAAGATTTTAGTGCAGACAGGCAAGTCTCCTCTGAGCTTGGTAAACAACCGCTGGCTAAACTTGCTGAGCACACGCAGGCAGATTTAACTAGCTGGGAAGAGCTTCAGCATGGGCTGCACTGCGACTGCTTTCTTCTGCCCCAGTATTCCCAGTTCCCCTGCTGGGAACTCCCATTCCAAACGGGAATTAGCAGGTTAGCAGCCCAGGAGGCTGGGGCTGGCACCCACGGGGCTGACCCGACAGCAGAAGTTGCTCTGTGTCTAAAGAGACAGAGAGCAGTCCCTGTACCTCTGCCCAGGACCAGCATGCAGTCTCAGCCCAGCTGCAGCACCATGCCTGGTAAACGCTCTGGGATTTGTTAAAAATGAGGCTTTGCTAATATGCTAAAGATGACAGACCTCAAGTTGTCATATATTAAAATGGTGCGTAAATTCCTTCCTCTGAGTAACCAATAATGGGACAAAAATCCTTGCCAGCTCCAGTCTGTCCCTCCTGCCAAGGATTGTTTGAGCTCAGCTCATCCCGAGTACCCCCATCGGGATCCAGATATAGATTAACAGAGTTTTGAAACGCACAAGGGCCACAATCATGCAAGGCTTGATCCAACCCCGACTGGAGTCTGTGGAAAGGTCTGCATTGACGCAAGTGGATGGAGCACGGCCCCACCGCTGCTGCTGCTGAGGAGCCAACCCCAGTCCCTCTGCCAGGGCAGCACCCACTCGCGGCCTGCAAGAATGGAGGCTACTGGGAGCCATGGGGAGGGCAACAACAGCTCCCTGGGGGCCCCTCAGCCCCCGAGCCTGGTGGGCACGAAACTGCCTGCAGGACAACAGCTCGTTCTTTCCCTCGCCAAGGGGCTCGCTCCCATCCCCACCCCGAGCCTCGGCATGGGAACGGCGCTGGTGCCCCCACACTGCACCTTCAGCACCCTCAGCTCCCTCAGGAGCCTCAGCACCCTCAGCACCCTCAGCACCCTCAGCTCCCTCAGCACCCTCAGCTCCCTCAGCTCCCTCAGCACCCTCAGCACCCTCAGCTCCCTCAGCTCCCTCAGCACCCTCAGCTCCCTCAGCTCCCTCAGCTCTCTCAGCTCCCTCAGCACCCTCAGCTCCCTCAGCTCCCTCAGCTCCCTCAGCAGCCCCACAGAGCTGCAGGGCAGCAGCAGCAGTGTGGAGCATGGAGGGTCCCTCACCCCGAGTGCCACGCACTGCTTCCCACAGGGCAAATCCTGTGCACGTCTCCAGAGACTCACACACTTTTGTGGGGGCTCTGCCTGAACAGCCTGCAAATGCAAAAGGCTCAGCTGGATGTATTCACACACAGGGACAAGGAGCAGCTCCTCACTGCTGCACCAGCCTGGCTGCTTTTCACTCCACTGTTCCTCCTTCGCCAACCCGCATCTCTTTTGTTCCTCCTTTCCTCATTCCCACGTTTTTGTGCTGCCCTCCCACGCATCCCTTGTGCTACCCACCAGCCTGCCCTTCTATGCTCTTCTCCAAGTTTACTTCTCAGCCATCATTTCTTTGGGATTTGCTGCAGTCAGAGGAGCAGGAATTGAAATGGAGAAATACCAGCCTTGGGGCCCTCTCCCCTTCCCAGTCTCTGGTACTGGTATAGAGCTCACAGAAGACAGTACCAAGCCAAGGGGGGCAGCATTCATGCATGCAGTAGCCCCCAGCTTGGGGCCTTCTACTCTGTAACAGCAATAAAAAACTGCCCATTCAAGTCCTTTGTCTTAAAGATTTCCATCCTGGCTACAGCAAGTGCAGATTTATTGGTGGGAGCAACTGCAGGAGGAATAGTAAACAGCGTGCGCCTGCGTGTGGATGTGCCAGCGCACCAGGGCCGTGCCTCCACCAGAAACTCACCACAGCCAACATTAAGTATGGGACTAATATAAAATGGGCTCTCTGGTACGTGAAAGAAAACCAAAAAAATATCTCATTTGGCACCTGATTTGATGAAATCCACGGCACAGTCAGAGCTTGGGGGGGAGGCAGGGACGGAGAACCAAAGGCAAGAGACGGCTGCCTAAGCTGAGTCTGAGGAATCAGACACCTGCCTTAGCAAGAACAGTGACGCACAGCGTGGCCCCTGCCTGCTCACAGGCCTCCTCTCCACAGCTAAACTGCCCAGCCTGCACTGCCTGCCTCCACCCTTGGGACAGGTGCAGCCTCAGCCCCGCACACAGAGCCCTGCCGAGGGGCACACAAACCCAAACCTTCACAGGTTTGAAACGCAGCCTCCACCCCTTCCGCAGAGCCACACACAACTCCTCCACGCTTGTTGACACGTCAAAATAATACACTGCTAATGAGAAAATCAGCAGCCGCATCTTTTGTTGACTTCTGTAGGAATTTTGCCGGAGAAAGGATGGCAGGACATGACTCCAAGCTCACTGAGTGACATCTTATATTTTCTAAACCATCCTCAGATTTTTCATAACATCCAGCAGGCGAGTTGCTGACAGATCAGGACGGCTGCCTGTTTGTTGGGCAAGAATACTTTGCGATTCAGTAGAATACCAAATTTGGTAGAAGGTCTTCCACTTTGGTAGAAGATATTACAAACAACTGTGCATTTTAACACGTTTTCACATTACACATCATTCATTCTGGGGAGGGGGTGGTGATCGCTCTGTGCAGCCAGCCAGCAACGCTTCCAAGAATGAAAATGCTCATCGAAAGATAATGAAAAACAGATATTTAGTAACATTTTCATTTTGCATGTTTAAATATTTATAACTATGTTCATAAAACCACATGTTTGCTCTCCTAATGCTCCAGTGATTTTGTTTATGAAATGCAGTATTTCTCCAATGCCCCTTCCTTGCGTCAGCCTCTCCACGGAGCATGATTTAGTCCCGGTGCTGTGCTGACAACCAGCAATTTTGTAAAAGACTGGCCGAGATGAAGAACAGAAAACTAACAAAAAGAAGAAAACATATTTTCAGGGCATTAACGTTTCACTAATACATATGTGATTTTATACTTTGTAGGGGGCATTTATACCACTTTAATTTTTTCAGTGCAATTTATTGTTAGTCTGGAAGGGAACTATTTCTCACTCTACAGCAAAATTACAAAATCTAGAATTTTAAGTGTGATAAAACCAAGGTGCTGATATAAACTATTTTTCTATATTTTTTTTTCCCTAGCTTGGATGAAAATTAAATAACAAAGAAATTGCTTTAATACTACAGTTCCTCAACTTTGTGTTACAAATTTCTGGAGTTTTGAGTTATAATTTTTTATAAAGTTGATCAAGTGGGTATAGTCAGAAATTGGGAATTAACTATGCTATTAGAAAAACCCCCTGTAGTCTTCTCCTCTGTGCTCTGACTGCAGACATCATGACATAGCTTACAAGGTCCATTCTGGTTTCATGTTAAAGATGCAGAGAGACCACGGCTGTGAGATGAGGCTGCCAGGGCTCAGCCCCACAGCAGGAACCCATTCAGGACCCAGTAAATTCTTCATCAAATCGTAACTCTTAAAATGCCCCAGGTAATCTCATAGTTTAAAACAGGAGGTAATATTTAATTTTATTTTAAAAAAAAAAATTCGTCTTTTTTTTTATTAAATATTTCCAAACAAGAGATTTTTTAGAGGGTTGGAAAACTCCTCTGAAACCAAGTCCTCAGCAACATAAAGTGAGCACCAACAGAAAGGGTTTTTTTTAACCTCAGCCCAGCATCCTCCCAAAGGTACAGGGAGTGTCTTCAAGGCATATTTTCAACTCCTTTGGTCCTTTGCCTGTCTTCTTCTGCATCAGCAAAGAACAAAAAAGAAACAGAAAAAAAAGTAGCAGATTGCAATGACACATTGGTATCTCATTTTAAAAACGAGTGCTGCAAAGCCATTCAAGTAAAACACTCCACTTGCTGTATTATTTTAAAATATTCCTGTGGGTCAAGATTAAAAATTAAATATATATTTTACTGCTGCCAATTTTTACAATGTTGGCAATAGCCTCCTTTTAAAAAAAAAATGTAAAAAAAAATGTAAGTCAAGCTCTAGAATCATGAAATTACACAAAAACTCAAGATCACTTTAAAACACTTAGAACTTTTTAAAGCAAGTTAAGTACCCCTTTGCCCTCAAAGTTGTCACTGGGGAAAAAATTTAAAAAAAAAAAAGCAGCAAAATAAAATCTGGACAGTGAGGCTCTGAAAAATAGGAGAAAAAGGAAAAGAAGATTGTCCTTTTTTTTTTCTTTTATAATCTTGTAAAATTGAGCAAGTCCATTTCAAGTGTGCTTAGAATATGATTTTAAAATATTTATGATTCGCAGTCTCAGAAAGCTCTTGTACCATGTTCTTCCTAGTAAAAATAAAAATACTGCAGGGAAATGAGTATTTTGGGGCACATCTGCCTTCCTCACCCAGAGTCTTTGCACCAGTGAGCAACCAGAGACCAGTCCTCGTAAACTCTGCACTCTGCATGACTCAGAGAAACTTCAGTCACATCACCTGCTGCATGACGCTTTTTCTCTTAATCAAAGATAGTATTTGAGTCCAAATTAAGATTTTTTCCTATATTTAAGACTGAGTTTCACCAATCTCAACACAAGCTTTACGTTTTTTCTTGAATTTACCAATAATCCCTGAAAAGCTCAAGTCCATGGATTTAATAAATGCAAACAAAAAAAAAAAAGTTTATTTTCAGTAAGAACACATTGAAGAAGTGAAAACCCCAAATCCAACAGCATTCTACTAAAACAGGTAAAAAAAAAGAGAAAAAAAGATCAAAATAAGGACAAAAGAGAACAAAAAGAACAACATCTTTCTCAGAATCAGAATTATGCTACGTGAACTACAGAAAGTGGCAAAAATACTTTAAAAAATAACAAACACCGGATTTTGCACTGAAATAATGTCTGACTGAAGCTGGGACGAATTTAAAGAAGACAGAGACTAATAACTAATTTTATGTCAGGGAAGGACTGTATGCTAATGCCCTGCCTCTCCAGCCGTTCCGGATGGAACTGTATTTTCTGAAGTGGTTCTTCTCTGTGGCACACAAATGCAGCAAGGCCAGCAGAAACCAAAACCCTGGCGTTTTGTAGCCTGCTGTGAGCCTGCCAGCTCCAGGCTGCACATCAAGCTGTGGATAAAGCACCAGAGCCCTTTCTGCTCCCAGCCCCACTGCGCACACAGGCAGCGGTGACATCCCACACCTGCCCGGGCACGGTCTGTCTCCACACAGGCTGCACACAAAAACACTCTTCCCCCTGACCAAACCCTCCCGAGGTTCCACATCTCTCCTCCCAGGGAGCAGAACAGGAGGAAGAACGGGCAGCCAGGTGGGCCCCGGTGCCAGCAAGGCTCGGGGACTCTGCCGTGCCCAGTGCCCCGAAACCCGCTCGGAGCCATTTTGTAGCTGAGGAACCCCCACGGGCCTAGACTGGATTATACCATGCTCTGAAAACAATACAAACAAGGAAACAGCCTGTTCTGCACATATCCTTTACGATCCTCTCAGCAGCGCCAGTGACTTTTCCCCTCCCTGAGTTTCCCTGTCCCAGGCCAGGGTACCTTGTCCAGCACTCAGGAATGAATGCCCAAGGTGCAGAGGCTGCCTCTCCCTCAAAAGAAACTCTACGTATCCCTCATTTCAAAGTCCAGCCGTGACAATTTCAAAGCTGCCACTATTGAACAAGTTGCCAAAACAAAATCCTGCAGCTAAACTCAGGTTTTTTTCCCCAGCTCTTTTTATTAAAGTTTCGTTTCACACAAATATTTGAAATGGGGAAACATTACCAAAGTATCAGCTGAAAGAAAACCTAAGCAGCACACAACCTTCTTTACTGAGAATAAAATTAGCATCTTGATATTAAAATATGTCCCTTTTGACAATTGCCT